AAACTTGTCGTCAAATACTTATCAACTTGGTTCTTGCAGCTGATGTGATGCTCGAGAAGATCAAAGAATCCAGCGCTCTCCTTGCCAATTCGTCGATGATTGCGATTCGAAGCGAAGAGATCAAGCTATAGTAGAGGTGTATGGCTTTCAGTAGTTTTACTTAAAAGACCATGTAGCGATAACTTTTGTTCTCTTATAACCTCGATCAATCCATTCTATTTACAACCAAGATCATCCAAGTTTTCTAGTGAATCCTATCCCCCACTCTTCTCACGAACCGGAGCTTCCAAACTCTCCAAAACCTCGCGAGTTTGCTGCGCAATACAAAGCTGCTCGTCGGTCGGTATCACCAAAACCTTGATCCTCGAACCATCCTTGTGGATCTCTCTCAAGCTTTTACCATTTTTCTCCTCGTCAACCTGGATTCCAAAAGCCTCCAGCCTCTCGCAAACCATGGACCGGATTTTAGCCGACCTCTCGCCAACGCCACCGCTAAACACCAGCGCGTCAACTTTCCCCTCGAGATCAACCATGTACGCTCCCAGATACTTCCTTATACGGTGGACGTACACCTCCAGCGCTAGCCTGTGCTTGTCGGAACTATCCGCGGCTTGCACAACTTCTTTCATATCTTTGTCTCCGCAAAGCCCGTAGATCCCACTCTCCTTGTTGAGCAAAGCATCGATCTCGGCCAAGCCCATGGATCTGTGCGCTGCGAGGAAGGGCCAGATCGCCGGATCAACGTCGCCACTCCGAGTAGCCATCACTAAACCTTCGAGTGGAGTCATTCCCATGCTTGTGTCGATCGATTGCCCGTGCTTGATCGCACACATGCTCGCTCCAGCGCCGAGATGGAAGGCGATGAGATTAAGTTCCAGCGCTGGCCTTCCAAGGGCGCGAGAAGCCTCGCCAAGAAGAAACTGGTAGCTCGTCCCGTGGAAGCCATAGCGCCGTACGCCCAGCTCTTCGTACAGCTTCCAGGGGATTCCGTACGTGTACGACGGCCGGGGGATGGTGGAGTGGAAGGCTGTGTCAAAGACGGCTACGTGGGGGCAGTGGAAGAGCTCCTCAGCAACTCGAATTCCCTGGAAAATTTTGTGATCTTTTTAAGAGAGACAAAAAAATGGATTTTTCCTTTTGGAAAAAAGAAAGTTAAGATTTGTTACCTCCAAGTTTGCTGGATTGTGAAGTGGAGCTAGAGGAACAGCCCTCTCGATTGCTTTCTTCACCTCTTGAGTTATATGCGTTGGTTTGCTAAATTGCTCGCCGCCGTGAACGACTCGGTGCCCAACAGCGCAAACGTTTTGTGGCTGCTGGAGCAAATCCATCACTTTCTTGAGACCAGCTTCGTGGTCTCCAATACATTTTCCCTGGAAGAAAACCAAAAAACTATTAGCAACCCAGCTATCCATGTACAAAGGCTTTAAGATTGCTGGAACACAAATACCATGATTTTTAGATCTTGGGCAGTGGAGATGCTCTTGTGGGAGATGGAGCTCTTGGAAGTTCCAATGCCTTCCACACTGCCCTGGAAAATGCAAGAAGCCACTCTTCCCAGATGATACAGGGCATACCTGCGATACATTGACCCTCTAGAGGAACTCTTTCTTCACAAAAATCTTTACTCACTTGATCGATGAGCTGCCAGAGTTTATCACGAGCACGGACCTCGCCATTCGCGTGATTAGGGCGGCCCATCAAGTATATTCGCTCCATACACTCTGAGTCTGAGTGCTGACCATGGTTTGTAATGGATGTCTGATTAGGTAAAGAATCTTAATCTGCTATTTTTAATAATTCAGAAAGGTGGTGAGAGCTCTCAACGAGCAGATTCATGTCCTTATCTTGTGCTCTCTCAGTCCCTATTCTTTCTTACACTATGTAATAGAATATCATAGGATCTTAAATATTCTTGATATCTAGGAGGCTACACGGCATAAGTCACTACTCCTCAAAGTGTCACTTTAGATACTTAAAGACAAAAATAAAGAACAGGTATTTTTTTTTGAGACAAGTAGTTTTTAGTTACACTAATGACAGTGTATAAATTAATTAAATTTTGTTAAACTAGATTACTTAAGTACCATTGTTTGATTAACATCAATGTGAATTAAGGTTTAGCTTTGTATGAATTATCAAAAATCCCATTTAAATATAATAAAAATAAGTACATATTATTTAAAATTTTCTTTATAAAAAAGAATTCAATAGAAGTATAATTTACATGCTTAAAAACCTTCAAATATAATTACCTTTTGCTATATATTTTGCTGAACTTAGAAAAACTATAAGTTAATATGGTTCCTTATTTACAGTAAAACAAAGAGCCATATCAACTTCTAATTTTTCTAGGTGCACAGCAATGTGATTCTCTTCAACCAGTTCTTGCAAAATATGGCCTTCTCCAATGCCAATGACAACATTATGCCAGTGACAACATTATGCCAGTGTCATTCTCCATCAACACATAGTTCTACAAGCTGTGCAAGCTAGGGATCCCAGCAGATTTAATTGAAGTGGATGCTAGGCATGATTTCCACTTGGCATGGATGAACATCAATCTCACATGGTCACCCATGTGGCCCGATGGTAGATCCATCATATTTAGGCACAATTACTTCAATGTGCAGGGGGTGGATCTCTGTGCACATCTCAAGGGGCTGTGGGGAGCCAGATGGGCAGCATTGAATCTACAAGAAGATTGATGGGAAGAAGCCCAAGCCTTAGAAGAAAAAGAATAGAGGAAAGGAGAAATTGTGTTGTGAATGTGATTTTGGGTATCTAAAGTTATTTGTTAGTTAGTCCTTTCAGATATTCTTTCTCTACTACCATAATAGTAGGAGGTTGGTTTTGCTAGACCTTTTATCAATCCCTCTTGTACTAATTGAGAAACTGGTCAATGACCATATATTTAAATTAGATAAACATAAAGTAGGAACCCCATGTATTTCTTGCTGAGTATACTCGGCCTAGTTTGAGAAACTCTTGTCATTAGCTTGCACTTGCTAATATTAAAAACCCCTGTAATATTGAGCTTGCTCCCTCAATATTCACTAAATGATAATTTATCATGTTTGCCAAACACCCTCGCCATCATGCCCTTTGTGTTAGTCTCATTTCGGTCCCAAATGCTATTTATAGAAAGTGTTTAAGTTTGCTCATTTGGCACACATTGGGAAAATGGATTAACACCAAGTCATCCACTTTGTACTCCACTGGTGAACGATGATGGAAGTTGTTGTGTTGTTATTATCTCACTTATACACAGCCTAAATGCTCAATAAACTTTACTCGAATGAGTGGAAGAATGCTTATCAAATATTGATCCCAAGACTTAAGCATCGGCACCTTATGACAATCACAAAGGTAAACTCAACTCTAAATAATGACTATATAAAAGTTTATATAGTGAAGCATTAATAGAACTTTATACCCTGTGATATATGTATACCAAAGAAATGGCAAATATCCATCTCAATCTAAATGCTGAAAGTTCATGTGTTTTGCAATCATCCCTTTAAACATCAAAACAAGCCATTCCTAAAAACTTGGGCAAAAGTCTATATACTAAAAGCTTGTATTAGAAAAGAAAGAAATAGGAAAATAAAATAAGAGTGAAAGAAAAAAGAAGGTGAGAGTAAAGTGGATGCTTGCTATTACATTTGCTTGACTTGATTTTGCATTTTGCTTCAGCTAGACACAAATAAACATATAAAAAGTAAAAAAGGAATGACTTAAATCTTTCAATCCCTATGAAGGTTTTTGTCAAAATCATGAGCAAAGATAAATTTAGCATTGCTTGAGTACTTTAGATTTTGAGCATATGGATGGGCATTGATGATGAAAGCACTATTCTTATTCTTGAGTCTCAAAGTTTAAATCTCAAGACTTAGGATGATGTTTCTAAATATAAAGTTGATTTTCTATACCCCACTTTTCTCCCACAACTGAGTTAAGTTTCATCTTGAAGCTCTCACTTCTCCACGGCATTGGGCTGTTTTATTGCTGCTATGACTCCAAAGAGCTCATTCTTGAATTTGTTCTTCTGTTGTAGCGCACCCTATCCCTACAGCTGCTTCACCTTGAGCTGTCAGATCTCATTGCGAAGCTCTACATTCTCCTTGGGGAGTTCCTTGTTCATGCGCTAAATCTTTGCACATACAGATCTCTAGAAAGTTGTACCTCAAATGCTCCTCTTGAGCTGGAGAATATGGTTCTGGATCTTCATGAGCTTTGCATGTAGGGGCTGGTAGACAAAGGTGTTGATTGGACTCTGTCTCGCATGAAAATGCTCGTCTGCTTGTTGTGGAAAAGCCTTGCAAAATCTGCTTTGTGGTGTTGACTGGAGACACTACATTTTGTCCACAAACTGGAGAAATGCCAAGCTTAAGATCCAGTGTAAGCTCAGGCTTGCAGCATCACTCCTGCTCAGGATGCTCTCAACTGTGGTGTTTGCAGTGATGCAGCATGTTCTTAGCATCGGCATTGAGAGCTGGTTGTGTTGGTGTTGCTGTGTGTGGTGGAGATGCTGGAGACTGCTCCTGCTGGGTCATGTTCATGTTACACTCTGGTTTGACGACTGTTAATTTGGAACCTGCAAGGTGGTTACATGTTCAGGATCTTGTTCCTGAGTCTTCTCCTGAATTTCCTCACCTTGAGCTTTGTGATCGTTGTTGTTGGTTGTTCCCTTGACAGCTTTTGTGCTCTTGCGTGTAGATGTTGCTATGCATCCGCATCTATGACACACTTTCCACAATCCATCAACGGGAGAGCTTTCTTAGCCTTTATAAGGAACTCTGACCACGCTTTTCGGTGTTTCCGATCGACTTAACTCGAGGGCGACCGGAGATGGACACCGGCTTACAAGCCTGGGATTGCGAGCGCGCTGAGGCACATTGTTCGCACCCAAGGCTACGCTGGGTTGTACAAGGCGATTTTTCCCGAGTACATCAAGGTTTTTCCAGGCTAATGGTCCCCGATTCATTTCCAACCGTCAGATATTCTTGAATCGACGGCCTTGGTTGAATTTCCATGTTGCTAGCAAATGTTTAGGGTTCTTGCGATGGATGAGACTTGGCGACGGCAGCGATTCGATGCGCCGCACCAGCATTCGCTCCTTCGGCAGCGCCGCCGCGGGCGCCCAAGGTCACAAGGGATTTGCGCTAGGGCAATTTGCGCCTGGGCGATCCACGCCCAGGCGGCGGAGAGCAAGCAGCTGGGGAGACATGTACGCGAAATGCGGCAGCATGGAGGATTCCCGCCGCGTGTTCGACAGCATTCTTCACCCAAACGTGATGTCCTTGATGCTGGGCTACGTCTCCAATGGCGAGAGCGATGTGGCTCTGGATCTCTTCGAGAGGATGCAAGCCAAACTCCAGGACGCGGCAAAGGCTTGTAGCAGCCTCGCGGCGAAGGAAGACGCTGTTTTGGTCGATGGGAAGCTCGTCAAGGAGGCTAGTCTCGAGACCGGCAGAGGCATCCATTCTCAAGCCAAGCAGATGGGACCGTCTTGCAGCGAAGACGTTTTCCTCTCGAGCTAAGTGCGGCATCATGCTCGATGCTCGATCGGTCTTCGATGAGATGCCACAGTGAGACGTGGTCTCCTGGAGAGAATGGAGAAAGCGAGGTCGCTCTCGAGTTCTTTGGGAAGATGGGCTGCTCGCCAAACTCTCGGACTTTCGTTGCTGCTGCCAAGGGCTGTGCGAATCTAGCAGTGAAAGAGGAGGCCATCAAAAGATGGTGAAGACGAAGAGCCTGAAGAAGGAGCTCGCTGTTCACGATGGAGCTGTGAAAAGCCACTGCTGTGGAGATATCTTCGTGGGGAGCAGCCAAGTGACAGGTACTCAAGTGTGGGAGCAAGGTCGACGCGCGGATGGTTTTCGAGAGCATGCCTCGTCGTGATGTCGTGCTCTGGACGAGCTTGATACAAGGCTTTGTGGACAACGGGGAAAGCGAGCTGGCTCTCGTGTTCTTCGAAGATATGAAGCTATCTGGGTGCTGTCCAAGCTCTCGGACGTGTGTTGCTGCGCTTGCCGCCTGTGCGAGCTCGGCAATGCGAGAAGAAGCGGTGGATGTCGACGGCAAACTCGTGAAGAGAAAGAGCTTGGAAACCGGGGCGGCTATCCACGGTGAAGCTTCAAACAACAGGTGCTGTGAGGACGTGTTCGTGGGGAACACTCTGATTGATATGTACGCGAAGTGTGAGAAGCTAGAGGAAGCTCGCAAGGTCTTCGATGGCATGGCTGGCCGATGTAAGTGGAGACAGCAAGCTGGCCTTGGAGCTGTTCTTCGGCATGGCTCGGGAGAACGATCCGGACGAGAGAACGTTTGTTGCTGCGCTCATGGCCTGCGTCCACCTTTCAGCGTCCGAGCCACCTGTTCCGCGAGAAGATGGAAAGCTAGTGCGAATCCAGAGCCTAGAAAAGGGGATGGAGATTCATTCTCTCGCCGCGAAGTTTGGACGCTGCGAGCACAGATTTGTCGGGAGCAGCTTGGTGGACATGTATGCCAAGTGTGGAGATATGGTGAAAGCTCGAGCAGTTTTCAAACGCATGCCTAGCCTGGACGTTGTCGTTTGGACGAGCTTGATACAGGGATATATAGACAACGGTGAGAGTGAGCTCGGGCTGGAACTCTTGGAGTGGACTGTGCTCCAAACTCTCAGACTCTTGTAGCGGGACTTACGGCCTAGCTGGAAGGAAACTCCAGGCTGAGCTTTACAGGCGTGGGCTGGAAGACGATCAAGTTGTGGGGAGTAAACTTCTACAGGAAGTGCGGAGTTATGAGTGCGGCCGAGCACTTGTTTGGATCTCTGGCAGTCCGAGATATCGTCGCCTGGAATGCACTGGTCACGGGATTCGGCCAACAGGGTGACACGTCGCGCGTGTTCGAAGCCTTTCGCGAGATGCGAGAAGATGGCGTGCGAGCAAACGCAATCACATTTGTCTCGGTCATCACTGCTTGCAGCCACGGCGGCCTAGTTGAACGAGGCAGGGAGTTTTTCCAGGCAATGGACCCGGATTCTGGCATTGTTTGCGGGATTCATCACTACAGCAGCTTGGTGGATCTCTTAACCGACTGGAAGAGGCCTTGAAAGTCCTTGAGAGCATGCCTTTGAGAGCGGATGCTGTGGTTTGGGGGAGCGTCCTCGGGGCCTGCCGTAAGTGGAAGTGGGGAGGATTGCGTTCGAGGCACTGACGAAGATCGACGAGAATGACTCGGCTGCATACGTTCTGATGGCGAGCATCTACCGGTAAGCGGATAAGAAGAGTTCACTTCATCAAGCGGTCGATTACAAACTGAAAGGTAGAAAGGACGGCAGCAACATGGTGGACGAGCTAGAGATTTGATTGCCAGCATCCACAGAGCTGGGAATGAGCTCTGCGGTTTGCCGCAAAATAGGTCCAGAAGAACGCGTTGAAGGCGGCTGCCACGAAGATGGCAACGCTGACAAGTGTTGTCACCTCTCTTTGGTCCTGTTCGCTACCACCTTGTCCCTCTGTTCTAAGCTTGTGTGGCGGCATAGCAGTGCTCGAACAGGTGTTGGTCAGTGGCAAGCCACAGAGCTGATTCCCAGCGAAGAGAGCCGCGTCCATGGACGAGAGTTGTGGGCTGTCAGGTATCCGTCCCACCAGGTTGTTGTTGGAGACGTCGAAGATGGTGACAAACGAGAGGTCCGCCACGGACGATGGTATGGAGCCATTGAGACGATTGCTTGCGAGCCCCACCCAGGAGAGATTCCTTGCCTTCCCCAGGGACTCGGGAATGGGACCTGTTAGCTGGTTGTGGCTCAGGTACAACCCCTGGAGCTTGTAGAGGTCGCCAATGGCAGCTGGAATGCTTCCAGTCAGCTGGTTGAAGGAGAAGTCTATGTAGGTCGGGAAGGTGAAACCGTTGTAGACGAGTCCTCGCTCGGTTTGAATCATCACAGACCGTTTGTTCTGGTCGTAAAGCTGGACGTTGGCAAACAGTCGGCCAATGCTTTCTGGCATCTCCCCAGAGAACCTGTTAACCGAGAAGTTCATGGCTCGTAAGTTCGTGAGCCTGGGAAGCCAGTCCGGTATGGAGCCGCTGAAGCTGTTGTTGTCGAGGAAGAGGAACTGCAGAGACGACATGTTTTGCAATATGGCTGGGATTGAACCGACAAGATCGTTGCTGGAAAGCGACAGAAGGAGCAGGCGGCTCAAATTCCCGAAGCTGTCAGGGAGATTTCCAGAGAACTTGTTCTGGTCCAGCCCGAGAAGGACGAGCTCGGTGCAGTTGGAGAGTCCGGAAGGGAGCTCCCCGCCGATGTCGTTGCTGCTGAGATCTAGCTGCTGGAGATGCGAGAGCTTCGAGAGCTCGCCTGGGATTGTTCCAGTCAAGTTATTGCTGTCGAGCCATATCTCTCTAATGTTCGACCAGTTTCCAAGCTCCGGAGGTATGGCACCACTAAAACGATTTCCCGTGAGAACCACCCTTTGGAGATGCGAGAGCTTCGAGAGCTCGCCTGGGATTGTTCCAGTCAAGTTATTGCTGTCGAGACATATCTCTCTGATGTTCGACCAGTTTCCAAGCTCCGGAGGTATGGCGCCACTAAAACGATTCCCCCTGAGAACCAGCTTCTGGAGATGCGAGAGCTTCGAGAGCTCGCCTGGGATTGTTCCAGTCAAGTTATTGCTGTCGAGCCATATCTCTCTGATGTTCGACCAGTTTCCAAGCTCCGGAGGTATGGCGCCACTAAAACGATTCCCCATGAGAACCAGGATCTTCAAGTTCCTCAAGTTTCCCAGCGTAGCCGGGATCGTTCCGCTAAACCCGTTTAGCCCGAGGTGCAAAACCTCGATGCTTGCAAAGTCGCCATCTTCCAGCTCCAGTGGCCCGGAGAGAGAGTTGTATGCAGCGCGTAATTCCGAGAGCTTGCGTAGCCTTCTCAAGCTCGGTGGCAAACCACCCTGGAGCGAATTTTCGGAGATACGCATGTACCTGAGCTCCAAGTTCTTGCTCCAAATATTGGGTAGATCTCCGCTAAACCTGTTGTACGATATGTCCAGGCGTGTCAAGTTCGTCATCTCCCCGAAAGTTTCTGGAATGGAGCCGCTGAGTCCGTTGTGCGAGAGTTCCAGTGCCTCCAGTCCCAGGTTACCACCAATGGAAAAGTTCCCAGTTAAGTTGTTGATGGACAGGTTGAGCGATCGCAGGGTCAAGCTAAACTTTGGGAGTCTGGCCACTGTTAAGTTGTTCCCACTGAGGTCCAGGCTTTCCAAACTTTCGAGGCTGGAGAGATTTCCGGGGAACTCTTGCAGGGAATTGGAGCTCAAGTTGAGGAGGTTGAGCTGCGTATTTTTGCAAGGGACTTCCAGCGAGGAGAGGCCGTTTTGCGAGAGGTCCAGGCGAGCCAGCGATGGAAGCTCGGCCCAGGTGGCAGGAAAAACTCCCGAGAGATTAAACCTGGACAGAGCGAGGCCCTCCACTTGGTTGTCCGAGCTCCACTCCACTCCCCGCCATGCTCTTGGATTGGCAGTCTCGTTCCACACTTTGATGCCAAGCCTGTCACGGAGAGAGAGAAGAACCTGTGTGTCGTTCACGATTGCGGATGGATTTGTGGGGCACTGTGACCGGGATCTTGTGAGAAAGACGAGTAGAAACAAAGGCAGCAGCAAATCCGCGAGAGACATGGCCATGGATCAGAACATCAAAGAGTGAACGCTATCATGAAGGATGAGGTTCTTCTTTTTGCAGAGTTTACACGCACATTTGATAACCAATTCTTGGCACACTTGACTTCGAGTCAATTGAGCTAGTCAATAAAGTGGGGGACTTGGGATTTACCATTGTAAAAATACTTTATTGACTAGCAAAAGGCCTTGATGAAAGCCTTGCTAGTCAATAAAGTGGGGGACTTGGGATTTTACTGGGCTATCAACTATATTACATAACATAGATTTTTGCATAGTTTCTTTTTGCGGTGATTTTTTGGCCACGGTGGATAGAATGTGGATTTCGACAGGTCAAGACTTAGACTTGACTTCTGCCAGTCCGTAAAAGCATTATAATGATATGTTTTTCCAACGAAATTTTTGTGTTTGTTGGAAATTTAAGTTGTAATCAACTCAACTTAAATGTTAGTAGCAAATTGGCTTTAGTTACAAATTTTAAGTTGTAATTTGTGATAGCTTTATAGTTACTCAAATTTAAGTAGTTGTCCCTTACAACTAAAATATAAATCATAATTTGTAGTAACATATTCTTTAAAGCTAGATAAGCTCATATATGTTGCTAATTAGAGTTGCAATTTACTTTTAAACTGTGACTAAAATGTAAGTTCTTAAGGTTTGTAGTTCCAAAAGTTTTAGTCATAAATTTCAACAATATTTACATCAACTAAATTACTAATAGCAGTATAATGTACCCACTTTTAACACATAATTTCCTAATAAAAGAACTTTGTTTTCTTCCTCAGATCTGTATTAATTTTTTTGTTTAGGATTTAAGAATGATAGTTGCATGTTAGTGTTTAAGGTGTAGAAGTAATTATATTTACTTTATACAAATTATCATAAATCATATTCATCTTTATGGTAAACATCCTTTAGCACCACATGATGCATGGTTTTCAATGGAAGATATTCAAGGGATTAGATTATGCAGATCTACTACTTTAGTATAACAATTTTTTGAAATTGATAAAAGCTCTATAGTTCCAGATGATTGTTATATTAATTTGAGTGGTGGTAATGGTAGTGGCAATGATGATATTGAGGATGATAATGTATTTAATTATTTTTAAGATTGCTTATATGGAAATGAAGACAATTTATTACCTATTTATAAAGGGGCAAGTGCTTCTATTTTGTTGGCTTGTTTAAGGATTTTAGATGTGCAAGTTATTACTGGAATATCAAGCCAAGCAACAGATCATTTTGTAAAGTATTTAATTTTTATTTATTATATAGTATTAAGTTTTTCATTATTTGGATGAAGGCTCTTCAAGAAAATGTTGCCTACAAATAAAATGTTTCAAATATATATAAGGAAGTGGAAAATATCATTAAACATAATGGACTTACCTAAAAAAAGATTAATTCATGCATCAATGATTTTATGTTATTTCATAAGGAGAATAAGGACCTTCAATTTTGTCAAATTTCTATTGCTAGCAAGCACAAAGATTTTAACAATTATATACCTGAGAAAATAATGCACTATTTCTCTATTATACCTTGACTTCAATAATAATTTCAATGTAGAGAAATAAAAAAAATATATAACTTATAATTTTATCATCAATCCACTAATGGAATAATGAGAATGCCTGCAGATGGTTCAACTTATTTACCCAAATTTTGCAGTAGATCCAAGAAATATACATCTTACTATAGTTGCAAATAATCTTTCTCCAACAAAATTAATGGCAAAAATATATTCATGTTAGGCAATTGTTGTAGTTAATACTAATATACCACCAACTCTAGCAATTAAGCCTTCATTTATATTTCTTATTATGATTATACCAGGTATTAGTCTAAAAAATAAAATGAAATATTTATATTTATAATTTTTCTAGGCCAAAAACTTCCTAAGGTACCTAATATTTATTGGTCCCTATTTTTGGAAGAGTTGAAACAATTATGGGATGGAGTGCCATGCAAAGATAATTTTAAGCTAGAGGGTGATTTAAGCTTAGAGAAGCAGTGTGATAGTTTATTCATGATTTTCCTGGATTATGATTTTGTTCAGGACTTCAAACTAATGGGAAAATACTTTTACCTAGACTATGGACTTGGATTCTTGGAATATAGTCACAAAGTTTATAAAAATGCATATATATTGGTCATTGGTGTCTCTTACCTATGGATCATCAATTTAAGTCTACTAATAGAATGTAAGATTTTAGTTATTATTTCTAAACATAAATTAAATTCTAATTTTTATTAGTTTATTTAATGGTCATAATTATATTTGACCAATACTAACACAAATGACTCCTGAACAATAGGCAACATATATTATTTAGTTAGACAAGAAGATCAAATATCATTACCTAATGGTATGAAATGGTTATATTCACATTTTATCAACTTCCATATTTTTATAAGTTGCCAGTAGCATTTTTAAAAGATTATATGCACATATTTAAGAATGTTTTTGAAACTAAATATAAAACTATTACTACCAAAAATGATGAATTAAATACTAGAAAAGACTTAGTTGTGTGTAGAATAAAGTAAAATATGTGGTGTGACGTGATGGAAAAATTGATCATGGAACTTGGACATTAACAAGTTATCAAAATAAATTATTTATTAATAATATAGAGGCTTTTAAAGTTCTTACAACATATGGAACTGAATTTTTAAATTATGTTGATGAGAAAGGTAAGTTAATAGGTATGAAAAAAATTGGCTTCATTTACTATGAGTAAGTTTCTAAATTTACTAAAATGTTAATTAACATATTTAGTAGGATGTTTATCTCATTTTTATAATAGGAAAGATAACACCTCATTTACAGGAAGCAATATTTTCTTGGAGAAGTTGTATGGTACTAATTGATTTAATTTTTTGAATTCAATTAATTTTAATTTTAATTAGATTTTTAACTGCTCAAGAAGTAGATAAATCTTTGATACCTATTATGAAAGAAAAGTCTATCATTTATGTGTGTTTATTGGAAGCAACATTATTTACAACAGCTATGACATCACAAGTATATTTATTAGTACACTTAATTGATGAGTTAGATAGTTGGTCTTGGAACTAGCTAAAAAATATTTTTTATTAAGTGTTATTTAAGAGTTTTAAAATCTTTGGTAAGACAAAAAGCAAAACTTGAAGATCTATAGTGTAAGGTCTACTATTAAGAGAGAGTTTTTGTATGCATAATATTTTAGTGCTAATTTGGTAACTAATATTTTACAGTTTATACCATTTGATTATAATAGTATTCGATTGTAGCATTTAGGAAAACAAATTCAACTTAATTAAGAAGAGCATGAAAATATTTCTCTACATATATGCTTAATTGAAGAGGAAATGGATCAAACTTTTTTAAGGACTTGGGTAATGGATGCAAAGTCATAATTAATATTAATTAATTATTAATTACTTTTAAATTTTAGGCCATGAGTTATACAGTATATTAGATTAATGGAAAGCATTTTAGAGTTTCTCAAATCAATGCAAATAAGAAAACAATGGACAACATTATAATTACGTTAAGGAATCCACAACAACCTCATATTGATTTTCCAGGTATGTATTTTTATCTATGTTAGTTTTTTATAACTTTTATATTAAACAGGTACATTAATGGATATTTATGAGGTAAACTTTAGATAATTCAAGAGAATTATTTTTAAAATTCAGTGGTTCAATATTAAGGAAGGAACAGTGAGAATGGAGGAAAATCATATGCTATCCATGATGATTGATCAAGTAGAACCTTTGGATGGGAATAGTTTTATATCCAAAGTTCTGATCATAGAGTCTAAAATTCTCAGCACAGATACTTCTATACCTCAGTGAGTGTATATCATTTGCCTCAGGTGGCTCAATAATGAGCTGTCAAAATGAATGAGTCAGCTAAAATCATCCAATTGCCAGATCGATCACGAGAAGAAGAGGTGTCACAATTTAGGGCTAAATGGGAAATCTTCTTGGCCGCTAAGACCGAGCGATGCAGGCCAGTCGTCCCACACACCATTGGGTGTGATTTGTAGAGGGCAGGGATAGATGAGGTCACCGCTGGCTTATTCAGGTTTCAAGGAGGACCCGGCTCAAGGGTCGCATAGCACATCTTAACATGCTGCAGAAAGGTTTGAGCTTTCTTTCTCTTTTCTTTTGGATTGTGAGGATAGAGGATGTGGACGGATTCTTTGGAGCTCGGATCTGACTGGTAACGCAGTAATACCAATTTCTTTGCTTCTCTCTCCTTTTTTTCTAGACCTTGGAGACTCCCAAGCATCAAGGGTAAGAACTCTCAAGGATTCAAGGTTTTTTTTATTCAAGCTTTTTGTTCTTTCAATCAAGCATTGCTGAGAGTTGGAATTCGAGGAGTAACTATGAGCAATGTTCGTGGTTTAGGCACTCAAGGTGGAGCTGTGTTTTCTTTCTTTTTTCCCTGTGAAGAATTGTAACTCGTGAGAGGCTTGACAGGCTCTTAGTTCTCGGAAGACAAGTTCGTGACGAAGATCAAAATGGACTTCGCTGCTTTACAAACTTTTGTTTCATCTCTAAATGGAAACCCAGGTGGAGCTTGTGATTGATCGGGGACGTCAAGATATTTGGTAAGCAAGACGAGGATCTCTAGACTTGGAATCCAACAAGAACCACGTGTGCTAGCAGTGATCCCAGTCGCAGACTCAAAGCCTAGAGAATGGGGGGAGGTTACACATACATCCTTTCTTCTTCCACCACCTAAATCTCTTCCATGCTAGAAAGTTTTGGAGAACTTTGCTTGAGATCTAAGATAATCCATGCTAGAAACTTTTGGATTTTGGATCCAAGATAATTGGTAGAAGAACTTTGCTTGATAATCCATGTTAGAAATGTTACCACCTCATCTTGGGAAGCTATGGTGACCTGAAAAAGATAGCCATCCTAGAACCAACATGTGATGAGAAAAGAGACCAAAGTTTTTAACTTAAATAAAATAAAAACACAACAACCACAAATGTTGCAAAATCTATATGTTAAACAACAATTAGGGCTAGAATGTGATATTAAGTAAGGAATATTTTTGAAAATAAATAGTTAATATATTATTTAATTATTCATTAGGATTTATTCAAGATTATATCGTAAATAATTCTATTTATAAAATGTTTTTATTATTCAAAGAATTAACTGATCCAAATTCTATTATAGAAATTTCAAATTTTTGTAATAAGATGTTTCAAGCTATTGTAATAAAAATTTAAACAACAAAATATAGTTTCTTTCCATTTATATAATGAACAGTTACTAATATATTTATTTTAACTAAAATCAAGGAAAAACCAAAGATTAATTAAGTAAAATCCAATATATACATAACTTGATATAGCTGAATTCAAAAGTTTTAAAATAAATTTAATTAAATGAACTTTGATAGTAAAACATTGTATAGGGTTTATAGAAGAAATGTTTACTATTAATTTAGTGTGATAAAAAACATTTATATCTATGAAAGAATAGTGTTATTTTTTATTCAATTCACTACCTAAATTAAAGATTATTTTATCTTTAAAACTATAGCAGCAGTAATGGTGAAGAAAATATAAGTAAAACTATTTTATATATAATCTAATGCTCTTAAATTAGTAAATAATCTTTAAATTCCTAAAAAATCTAAATCAGATAATCTAAACTTGATTAATTCATATGTTTGTATTGCTAGTTATTTATTTTTCTAAAGTAAAATATTATACATAAATATTATTATAATAAAGTATTTAAAATATTTATAAATTACTTTTAAAAACTTCAGTTTAAAATTTTATTATAATATTTTATAAATAAAATCAGACGAATAAAAATTTGTATTAAACTTTATTATATAGAAGTTAATTGCTAGATGCTAATAGAATATATATAATCACTTTCATTCAAAATAAATCAGTAAGCATGTTATAAATTTTGGAGGTAAGATAAAATTGATCCCAATAAATATACTTTTTTAGATCTAAACAAGATGAAATCAAGGGTAAATATTCTGTCACTAAAGTATTTTAACTGGGTTCTATAAAGTTGCAACATCCAACATTAAAAATTGTGAAGCTTATTACAATTTTTCATGATTAAAATTTATCAATAAAGTATTTTTCTTTAATACAAATTTACTATATGATAGAAGATTTTGAACAATATCAAGTAATATAGTGTAAGAGTCTACATAAAAAATATTAAGTCCTAGTAAATTTAATCTAAAATAAAATAAGACTAAATTAAGTTTGTAATTAAACTGGTTTACTACTTTGCAAGTTAGTTAATGGTGTTTGATAAAAAAGAGTGCTACAACCTAATGAAAATAAGGATGCAACTACAATTTTGCATGTTCTTTCTTGATACAAGATCTATAACATAAATAAAGAGGTTGTATAATAGTTTAAAGTTATGAATTATGTTTACCAGAATTTGAGTATCATAAAGTTGCATCAAAATATCAATAAACTCTAAGATTTTGTATTAACTTGGCAAAAAAGAATCAAGTTCATAGTAATTATTAATTATATCATTAGATCCATATGTTATGTAAAATATAGAATTGTTTATGATGTTTAGTGTTGCATTTAGACCAATTTGAGATATAAGTATATGTTTATCTTCAATGAAATTTTTCACTTGTAGATAGATAGGTCATGGATAATTTTGGCTTGGAAAGATTCTTTTGACACAAAATTAAAAAATTAAATGAATTATCTTTAAACAAACTTTAATAATATTAAACAATCCAAATCTAGCACTTCCATAATTTACACCTTACTATATGTTCTTTGTGGGTGACAAAAATGGTTAAATTAATTGAAGATTTAAATATGAAGTTGCAAATGAACAAATTTAAACACTTTATTAACATCAAGAATAAGATTTCCATTTGAAAATCTCCTTATTGCTCCACTAAGGAACTTCCTTCCATAGGGAGGAAATTAACCTTTGCATAAGTGTTTAAAATGTAAATTTTATTTCTATAATTTACTAATGAGTCTCCAAAGATAAATATTGCAGAAATTTCACTCTTGCAATAACTAACAAATGCAACAGGAAAATAATTAGCCAAAGAGTTTCCATCTCCCTCTCAGATTTAGCAAGTAAGCTATAATATATGGTTCACCTACAAATAATATTATTCTAATAAAATAATATAAGAATCTTATAATAAATATACTAAGCACTGCGGCCACCAGCTTCTTCAAGAATGATCACTGTGTCATCTTAAACGACCGGCTGAGAACGCAGCCAATCAATACCCCAACCTGGCTTCTACATCTAAATCCTCTTGCAAGCACACAGGTATAGAAATTTTGTAAATGTTATTGGGGACAGGATGCTTCCAATGGAAATTCCTCCTGTGATGGAAAGTTGCCGTCGGGAAAGGAGAAGCTTACTCCTCTGTAGCAGCAGATTGTGGAGCTCAGGAAGAAATTTCTAGACACTCTTCTCATTGTTGAGGTGGGATACAAAGTTTCAATTTTTTAGAGAGGATGTGGCAGAATGTTGGAACGCTGGCAGTGAGAAAGCTGTGGCTATGATAAACAAATTCTAAGAAAATTGGCTGCTTTCTCATTCCAGTTGTGTGTATGGGAAGGCTTGTGGAAGTTGGCTACAAAGTTGGCGTACCAAGACACAAGGCTGGCCCATTCTCGATTTCTTGGGCTCTATATACCAAAGCCAGCACCCAGCTGCTAAGACAAATTGGTCCATCTCTTTCACCGCCCTCTTCTCCTCCCAGAAACTCCTTAGCCTCAAGCATAGATTTGGGGTGGTGACTGTAATTGTTGGGCTTGAAGAAAGAATCTTAGGGTTTATAAGTTTTTGAATGGGAAAGAGAAAGAAGGACGAGGGCGCTGCCGCCGCCAAGGGCCAGGCGATCATCCCCAGCTTCTTCAAGCGAGGTGAGACCGATGCATTGCGGGCTCCCACACTAGTGTGGCCATCGCCGCATCATCTCAGGCGATCAGCCGAGAATGCGGCCAGCGCGAGTAAGAAACGGTGCTTGAATTTAGATGTAGACGCCGGGTTGGGCGATGGGAAGGATGCCGATTGCGGAGTATCGGGGGAAGCGATTAAAGACAGGCGTAGAAAGTTTGTAGATGTTCTTCTTGGAGAGGGGGACAGAGATGGCGGTGGTGGAAATTCCTCCTTTTATGGAAAGCCACCGTCAGGGAAGGAGAAGCTTACTCCTCTGGAGCAGCAGATTGTGGAGCTCAAGAAGAAATTCCCTGACATCCTTCTCATGGTCGAGGTGGGATACAAGTTTCGATTTTTCGGAGAGGATGCGGAGAAAGCAGCCAATGTTTTGGGAATCGTTGCTTACTACAGCCACAGCTTTCTCACTGCCAGCGTTCCAACGTTCCGGTTGCACGTACATGTGAGAAGGCTTGTGGAAGCTGGCTACAAAGTTGGCGTTGTCAAGCAGACCGAGACAGCGGCTATCAAAGCTCACGGGACGAACAAGGCTGGCCCGTTCTCGAGAGATCTCTCGGCGCTATATACCAAGGCCACGCTCGAGGCGGGCGAGTTTCTTGGGGGAGAAGAGAGTGGGGAAAGGGATGGACCTATTCGTCTTAGCAGCTATATCATGTGTGTTGTGGAGGAGGCAATCACCGAGCACAAGGCCAACGCTGGAAAGGATGAAGTGAAGGGAAGTTTTGATGCTAGATTTGGGGTGGTGGCCGTGGAAACCTCGACCGGAGACGTGATGTACGGTCACTTTATGGACACTGTCACCAGGACGGAACTGGAATCACGGTTGCTTGCGTGTGCTCCCGCAGAACTTCTTTTATCTGCGTCCTTGTCCACTTCTACAAAGAAGGTAAGCTGTTTTCTTTTCTCTGATCGGGTTGTATATGAATGATGGTGATTTTTGTATAGTTGTTGATGGACTATGCAGGCGCAGCGGATGTTCGAGCCGAGAAGACGCCTGAGAACTCGTTTGAAAATGGCGGTACTGTTGCTGCTCTTGCGGACTTCTACGGGAGCTTGGCGTCTTCTAAGAAAGGCTGTCTGGACGAGAAGGTTGATGCAGGGTTAGAGGTAATTTTCTAGTTGTCTTGATTACACTATCGGATGAGAATTGAAGTTTGCAGGCGTTGATGACGATGCCAGAAATCGTGGTTGCTGCGTTTGCGCATATATTTGCTTATCTGAAGCAGTTTAATCTGGAAAATGTATTGCGCTTAGGAGCTCTTTTCCGACCATTTGCCGGGCAGCAAGAGATGACGCTCTCGCCCAACACCATCCGCCAGCTTGAGGTAACCACTGAATGCGATGTTTACTTACCAGTAACAAGTTTTTTCTTTCTAGATTCTACATAACCAAACTGATGGTACTGAAAACGGATCTTTATTCTGGCTTATGAACCACACAAAAACTGCTTTTGGCGCGAGGCTGCTTAAGTATTGGGTAAGGAGTTTGGTCTCAGTCACAATCTTGGATTTTTCGTTTTTTCCACTCATGTCTATTTTCAGGTGGCCCATCCGTTAAGAGACCGCATGCTTATTTCTCAACGTTTAGACGCCGTTGCGGAAATTGCCGAATCCATTGGAGATAAAGGCAGAGGCACAACAGTTGCAACTTTAGCTTCAACGTTGTTGCTGCTGGGAAAATTGCCTGATCTTGAGCGTGGTATCACAAGAATTTATCACAAAACAGCAACAACGTATGAGGTACCTTTCCTTTTCTGTAATCCTGATTGTTATTCTTTTCTGACCGTAATGTTTGCTGCAGTTCATTAACGTGATTAATGCGATTATGAAAGCAGCGTCCCAGTTTCAACGGGTTCGCGACGCCAGGTCTGCGCTCCTCAGCAGGCTAATCTCCGCAGTGACTTCAACTTCAGTGATAGATCACGCAAACAAGC